GCCGGCACTGAGTCCGTCGCCTCGTGCATGACAGGTTCAGCAGAGCAGGCTGCGCCCCTTGGTGCATCTCCATTTTTGAATGCACACGGTCGTCTATGAAGATGTGGTGCGCAGATCACTGCCAACCAAATTGTCTGTTGTGTAGTCGCTTCCCCTTATCTCAGTCTCGGTCCAGCCCTCTTTGTCTCTCTGGCCCAAACCCAGCGGGTCACACCCAGTGGAGGTTGGGTGGAGAATCAAAGCTCTATCCAGAATGAAAATGTATTTACAAATGACAGTGTTATAATAAAAAAGTACCCAAAACTGATTTAATTCGTTTGACATTAAAAATTAACCTTTAAATACCTGACACCAAATCTTAACATTCAGGCACAGGAAGTGTCAGACACCACAGCCCAGGAAACAGCAGTCCGACCCAAAACAGAAACCATTACTGGCACCATGTGCTTCTGTTGTATTGTATTCACTTTTGTGTCTGTGAAGATTCTCAGTCATCCAGGTCATGGTAATCATAAGTGCTAATATCGTAGGCAACTGGACTTGCTTGCATTTCTTGAAGATTTTTCGCCTCTCATCCAAGAAGCTTCTTCAGTTCTAAATGACACAGTGTCACCCCTGTTCCCACCTGACCCTAACGACTCACATGGTGGCCAGGTGGGTCAATGACTCACATTGTGACCGTAACGACTCTGAAACTAAGAGCACATGTGACCCCTATGACTCTGCAAGGGTTCCCACCCACACAGGGTTTATAGCCTGCAACTTTGTACCAGTCATTTAGAACTGAAGAAGCTTCTTGGATGAGAGGCTAAACTTCTTCATGAAATGCAAGCAAGTCCAGTTGCCTACAATATTAGCACTTACGAATGTATTCACTTTCACACCTTTAGGCAATTTTGGAAAACCTGAACCAGCTTGTCTGAAATAATACTGACTCTGTATTAACACCTTTTAACTTTACACCTTTATCTGTCAGAATGTGCCAGTATCCTGGAGCGTCAACTCTGCAACAGCAACCACAATCAAGGAGAGGCCAAAATCCCGTAAGCACAGAATCATAACTCAGTCAAAACAAGACTTTGTGTAACAATCTGAACAAATAAAGCAGCCATGGCTCAGACTCATCATCATCTCCTCTCACTCCAGCTTTTTCAACTCCACAACAGCCTGTCCAAAGAGTGACAAACTCAAAAGCAGTCCAGCAGCTGCAGGAGTCCTGCACTGGTTTGCAGGTAAAGCAGATTTGTTGAGTTTCATTGACTATGAACAGAAACCAAAGAAGTCCTGTTCTTTATTTATTTAAATTGAATTACCATCTTTCAGGTCAATGGATCGGGCAGGGAGGTTTCAAGAACTCCTCTGGCCACAGCGGTGCAGCCTAAAGAGAAGGACAGGAAGGATCGAACACCATCACAGGTGTTGCACTGAAACCATTTGCTGTTTAGGACACGACATTATGATTTGCAGTTGCTCAGCAGGGCTTTCTGCAAGTTTAACACCTCCATGTTGTCCTGACTTAAAACCCAAATACAGCATAGCAAATGGAAACATGATGGCCACCATCCTGTCTCCTCCCAGGTAGCCCTGTTGAGCAAGTGGCTTCATTTTGAGCCACATAACCCCTTTAGCATTGTACCTATGTTAGCACCACTAGCTGTGTTGACACTGCTAATGAATGAAAGGAATTTGTCATAGAAATACATTGTGCTGTTCTTTCAAGTGAAATGCCCCAAATGTTATCAACCATCCACCTTTTTCTGGCAGAGTGTCCCCGATTCAACAAATTCTGCAGCAGCAGAGGCCACAACTAAGAAGGATCCCAAATCAGGTGTGCGGTAGTATGGTTTCTTCAGTTGTTCTTCATTGCTTAAAAATATAAAAAAAGAAAGAAAAAAAGAAAGAAAATCAAGCAATCACTGTTTTCCTTCTCTACAGTGTGTGAGACTGCGCAGTCTGATTCCTCCACTGGACTGAAGGTATCTGTACAGTGAGATCATGATTTATTGGCATGTCCTGTGGAGCAACGCCAATTTCACCACAAAGGTTATGATATCATTTGAATCTCTGGGCTTGTGCTGAGTGTTTTACGTGTTCCAGGTGAAGGAACTGGCCCAGATGTTTTCAGCTGCCACAACCCAGGAATCAGCAGTCCGACCAAAGAAGAAACGCAGAGGGGAACAGAATCTATCACAGGTACAAGACCCTGTGTAAATCTTATTCTTCACTTCACTGACTGTCTGCTAAGCTGTTTATATGGCCACAATTAAGGAATAATGCTTGACAAGATGTCAATAATCAGTTAGTAATGGCCGCCATGAAGGTGTGAGCTATCCAACATGTAGCGGAGGCTACATCTAAAATCCATCTAAAAGTGATAACGGAAACCTCAAAGGGCATTATCCCACATATACCATGGTCACAAGAAATAGATAGTAAGTAGTATTCATTTATATTTTTATGCTTTTTGCAATCAAAATCCTAAGTTCTTCACAAGCCATAACTCTGTTTCCCTGGTGATGTTGACTTGGGGTCGATTCACAGCCTTTCGAGAAGACACAGCTTACAATTTCACATACCGCAACAATGACACAATACCTAGAGCAATCATTACCACTCCTTCAGGTTCTTATGCAATGGGTTTTTCACTACCCCAGGAAATAGGATTTTCCTTAAATTCGACTTAGCAATGGGAAATATTTCCATTTCAGTTTATAGAACCCTTTGGCTCAACTATTAGCCAGAAAGCAAACGTAATGCTAGCAAGACTCAAAGTCAAATACACTGTATGGCCTAATTAGGTACACTGGTTCAACTGCTCTTTAACGCAAATAGCTAATCAGCCAATCACGTGGCAGCAATTCAATGCATTTAGGCATGTAGACATGGTCAAGACAACCTGCTGAAGTTCAAACTGAGCATCAGAATGGGGAAGAAAGGTGATTGAAGTGACTTTGAACGTGGCATGATTGTTGGTGCCAGATGGGCTGGTCTGTCAGAAACTGCTGATCTACTGGGGTTTTCAGTAGGTCAGAGGAGAATGGCCAGACTGGTTCAAGATGATAGAAAGGCAACAGTAACTCAAATAACCACTGGTT